CTAAATTTAAATTGAAATTAAACTCGTATATATGTGTTATGTATCCAATTATGATGATATAAACACTATCAGTATATATACGATTTACTTTAAAAAAAAATAGAAAGTTCCACCTTAGCATAATTTAGTAGTTGGCATTTTAAAGGTTTCATCTACTTTGGTTTTGTTGTCTTTAATCGCTTGAAGCACCACCATGCATTGCCTTTTGAAGGGGGTGTGCGAAGGCGAAGGGAAAAGCCTTTTGAGTTTGTTGTATAAGTGACTAGCGAGCCTTTTGTTTGTGCTTTCATTCTTTTCTTTTCTGCATAGGTTTGTATATATCAAATAAGCTTCTGATCTATGTGAATTTTTTTTTATGCCAACATGCAATTTAGTTTTTAGTAATATGTTTTTAAGCTTCCGAGAAGAACTTTTTGATCAATATTGTTTAGAAATTTATTTCACTTTCTCAAAAAATCTTTAACATGTTCCAAATGAGTTGTCTAACCACGTGCAAACTAGCAAAAGCACGCACAAGTTTGACGTCAAACATTCGAAACTAACCCTAGCCTTGTGCTACCATTAATCGTTGCAGCCAGTAGGAATCTGCACACACTAGCTTTTAATCAAGGGCAACATACACTTTACCCCCGTAATTCAACGCCTTATCATATAATTTTTATATGATTTTAAAAGTCATATATAATCCTCTCATGATTTGAATTAAAGTGTCAAAATGAGAAATTTGCATTTCATAACCTAGTCAACTAAAATATCAAAAGTACCAATATGTAAAGTTGAAAATTATTTATTAACTACGGGGTGGTTATGTATATATTTTGAAAAATATAAGAGAGTTATATAGTAAAATATTAAATCATAAGGGGGTTACATGATAAAATATAAAACTATACGGGATTAGAAAATTATGCATATTATGTTTATATATCTTGGTCACTTTAGCTATTTTAGTTTTTAAGTAAGGATAAATTTTGATATTTTTATAGGTTCTGTTACAAATGATCATTTTTGTCATTTTGACACTTTAATTTAAACTATGAGGGAATTATGTGAAAAATTGCTAAATTATGGGGTTAAAGTGTATTTTGCCCTTTAATCAACAAAGAAACGACTAAAAGAAAGAGAGAGAGAGAGAGAGATGGATGCGGACCGCCGTTGCATTATTTCGTATTTCACAACGTGTGGCAACGTTTTTAATTATATATTCACTATCTGGACCACTGAAATTACTAAATGGACCACTGAAATTACTAATGTATCCGTCATATAATTTATCGGTATCCTGAGACTAGTAAAATGGTCACCACCCGAGGCTCATCCACTCCTGCTCCGGCTTGCACTGGGCTCTAGACTTGCCTCTGCATAACCAACCTGATCTTGTATAAATATCCCATCATTTCTGAGCTTCCCCTCCAGGACCAGGCACCCTAGAAACAAAAGAAGAAGATGAAAAATATTTCGGCAGTGCTTTTTCTCCTTGTTGCTCTAGCAGCAACTTCTCATGCAACATGTTTCCGGAACCCCCTTCGTCTCCTAACTGATGATGACCAAACCTCCCATGCAGAATGCATAACCAGTCCAATCCATCTTCTCAGGCCAAAATCTGGAGCTGCTGGCCATAACGTCCCACAAATCAACTGCCTAAGCTGGCGCCTGGCCGTGGAAACCTACAACCTGCGTAATTGGAAGTTGGTTCCTGAATCCTGCGAAAACTACGTAGGTCATTACATGCTGGGCAAGCAATATCGCGAGGATTGCGATGCTGTGGCTGATATTGCTATTGCATATGCTAAAAACCTCACTCTTGCTGGTGATGGCAAGGAAATTTGGGTCTTCGACATAGACGAGACCTCTCTCTCCAATGCTCCATACTATGCACGTTCCGATGTTCAATTCGGGTAAGAAAACATAGGATCTTATGACCATCAATCCGCAATCCTACGGACGTGTTTTTGCACTGTCATTAACTGCATAAAGCTTTATATGAATATACTTTAAAGGTTACTCTCTCTCATGAAATGCTACCCTCATCGTATCTCTTGTCAAGGTGTTTCATATATTCTGACAGCGACTTACAGACGGCCGATCCATTTCCATTATCACCCCCAATTCTGCAAGTCAACATTACAGAAGTATAATAAGGATTCTGCCGCGTTCTTGACAAATAAGGTCTATGTCATGCATTAGACCCTTTTTTTGGTTTAAAAAAAAAAAAAAAAGTGTATGACTCAAAATCCACCACTAGGGACATTAATAGTGGAGGTGCCAAGATCCTGTGGATTATAGTGGAAATGGGCATTGCTAAGTTTAAAGCATTGAGGATTTGACGTTCTGAATTGTAAATACTATACTAGTCTGATGAGTATGGATGTTTTATTTTTTGGATCTCTTTTCAGGGCAATACCATACAACGACACAAAGTTTAATGCTTGGGTGGCTGAGGGAGCAGCACCTGCAGTGCCTGGAGTTCTTCGTTTGTACAAGACACTGTTGTCTTTGGGGATCAAGCCCGTCTTCATATCAGGAACAAAAGAAGTATACAGAGAAGTGAGGATTTCCAATCTCAAGAATGTCGGTTATCGCAACTGGGAAAAGCTTATACTAAAGTAAAGACGTGCCCCCCTCTCTTATTGAACCTGATAATTAATTGCTTGCATTTGAATTAAGTAAGAATTATTTTTCATTAGGATTTTATATTGTTTTCACAGACACAGATACAATTTATTTAATGGATTAATCTCCTGTACGTACACTGACAGTGTATACGCTTTCACCGTTAAATGCATGACATATAATTCGAATTTGAAACTCAAATTTTGCATACGTATCATATATTCAATTGTGATAATATATACATCATCATCAGCGTGTATAAAATTTAATCTTATTTAATTAATGAGGCAACCTTGCTGGTTCTTTGCGTTACAACAAGATTTCAAATGTTCAGTGCTTCAACCTCCTTTTTTTGTTTTCCTTCCTTTTTTTGGGGGGGGGGGGGACTTTGTACATGGAAAGGAGCTTCTTTTTTTTTTTAAAAGGAAAATGAGCCTTTTTTAAGTTGCAAAAGTGATATGCTATGCATCATATTGTATAGGAGTACTACTAGTTAAGAAAGAAAATTAATTAATTAAATTAATTTTGTAGGGGAGAGAATGACACGGGTTCAGCAGTGGTGTACAAATCCAACAAGAGAACGGAGCTAGTGGAAGCAGGGTACAGAATTGTTGGGAACATTGGAGATCAGTGGAGCGATTTGCTGGGGACAAATGTTGGCGACAGGACCTTCAAAGTACCGGATCCAATGTACTTCATCGGTTGAGAAAAACGGAAAAATTTTCTGATTTTTTCGCGAATTAATAAGTTGTGTTGCGCACGGTGCACCAACCAGCTCATTGCGCGATTTTGGAGTTGTGTCACTTCAGCTCAAAGTCTGTCTAATGAGTAATGAGGTCTGTGTCAGCAGCAACCAGCATCCCCTCCCCTTAATCAGCTCTGTGCCGTGCAATCTCCTTGACAACTTTCTTTTAGACTATTCCTAAATAAAAAAGTCCTTTCTTTCACTAGTTCTCTTCTCGCTCTACTTTATCTTTGTCTCTTCTTCCTCGGAGTGGGATTTTAACTTGAGCAAATGCCATGCTTCCAAAAAAAAAAAAAAAAAGCTTGAGCAAATGCCATAGATGTCACTAAAGTATTTAGAATTTTCTAAGATCGCTAAACTTCTTATTTAGCCAAAATCATCATTGAATTAAAAGAAAACATACATCATTCAACTGAAATCGGCATTTAACATGAGACGAATGAGGGAGACGCTGCTCTCTCTCACCCTAAATCGGTTTTTTTTATACTTCATCGTTCCTACTCCTACTTTTATACTGATCTATCTAAGGAATGATCCAACTAGTAGATCAGGAGATATCGATGAGAATTGAATTACTATTGCAGCAGACAAATACACCGTACATCCATTTGAATTTTGGAGAAGTCACGTATTCGTTAGCGGCAAGTGATGGGAGGTACTGCATAATTTTTATTTTGTATAGTGTTTCCTTCATGAGGCAGACAATTAATCTTGTTATTTTTTCGGAAACTTATTACTATGTGGTATACATTCGTTTGACAATCTTCGTCAAACTTCCAAAAGGTGAATTATTGTTTATAAATCTCTTAGAAGATTTGGCAATCTAACATATAGAATAATTGAAGATTGGGGCAGTATGGAAATAATACAAGAAAGCAAAATGATGAGTCATTTGGACTTTTCATGTCTACTGTAATCAACCCTATAAAGAACACCACCAATCATTTGCGCATGCACCCTGCACTGCATATATCTGCAAGAAGATTTGTTTACCAACCATTTGAAATTGATGGTGGTTGTATTTTGGAGTCTACTTTAGTAATCAATAATAATATTAGTCAAAACTAACATAAGAGTATCAAACTAGCCTAAAAGAAAAACATAATAGTGTCAAAAATTTGCCTTGTAGAAACGGGATACCAGTTTTCTGAAATGGGATCATAATAATCCTCATAGAAACAATTCACCAAAGAAACATTGAAATGGTAGAAATGATCAATAACAAAAGTACAAAATACTTGTACGTATTTTTTTTTTACTAACTTTCTTTCTACCTTTCAAATAAGAAAAAAAGTTATGATTTGGGTCTTGTAATCTTCTAGTAGGAATTTCGAGTTCATTGCCACCCATTCTAAGTAACTCTTGCTTGATGGAACAGCCAAAAATAGCTTTGCCAATAATACTAGTGGATTGTCTTCTTTATTAAAACAGGAAATAGAAATACTTCCAGCCTCCCACCTCTCATGGCCCTTTTTTTTTTTTAAAGTTTAAGTTAAAAAAAAAGGGGCATGCTATACTAGACAATCTTATGGGCCCAAAATAGCAAACACCTTTGGATGATTGCGTTGGAGTCGGCTAATGGACAGCCAGCCCTAGGATCGGATCAGGCTTTGAAAAACTGAGAGTCTCACATGAGAATTCAGCCCATGTATTGTGTGGCGCCTTCTTTCACACACACACACAGACACGCACACACACATGGGTGAGAAGCCACATCTAGTTCTAGTCCGCTGAATATATTCAGACAACAGCTTTCACTCTTCTTCATTCATGGGACCTCCTCAATCCTAAGTCCATGATCATCCTACACATCAAGGTTACGTTTGAACTTTGCTTCTTTGTTTATTCCCAAGAATCATGATGGTTCATTTAGCTTAAGAGGACTACAGAGGAGGCCTGTTTCTTTGCTGTTGATATTGGCTTTTTTCTCTGGTATGCCTCTTTATTTCATGGTGAAATTCATCTTTTCTTTAGGTTTAGAGTGTTTCCTTTGTGTGTTATCTATTTTTCCCCACTAATCTGTTATGTCAAAACTTACTGCTTGAAAATCACTAAAATTTCATTTGGTTTTTTTTTTTTTTTTTTATCATGGTTTCTTTTTTATGTATGTTCTGATATTATCATTTTTTTTTGTAAATAGAGTTAGTCTTTGGTTTTGGAAGTGTTGCATGAGGATGTGTAGTTAAGTTTTGAAGTAAATCAGGGATCATATATCAGCATGTACGTGGATTAAAACCGATGATACTGCAATAATAAGTGAGCTCCAGCAGTAGGTAGGAAATAATGTCTTTTGAAATGGTTAGGGTAAAAATAGGGGTTTATGTTCATATGGTTCTGCCCACTAAATCAGCAGCATGCGTGTGAAAGCAACCTGAAAGAAGAATGTCGACCTATATGATAAAAAAGAATGGGAAAATATGCTCAGTTCGGCCCAACATTGTTGTTAATTTTCCAGGAGAAATGTTATTCTCATATAGTTTAGTTAAGATTCTAGGTGGGGCTCCTGTAGTAGAAAAACTTAATAATCAAGGAGCTCCATATGTTTATTCAAGGCTACAATTAAGCAGTAACGGGTAAGTTGTCATCAAATTTTTCTCTTTTACTGGAGTATATATGGAGGTTTATAGATAAAGTAGATTATGTCTTGCTTCTTCATCTATTTTAATTGATAAACAAAGATTGCAGAGAAAAAAAGGTCGAACCCCTGATTTTACGCATTCTTCTTTGTACTTATTTCTGCAGTAAATAGTGGGTTAGGTACATGCTGAGTATTGAATATGTGACTCAAATACACTTTTGACTTTTAGTTGGAAAGGGTTTCAGTCTTTGGGTGGAACTTTGAAAGAAAATGGGACTCCATTGGTGGTTTAGATGAAGTTGTCTTCTGCAGTTGTATATATTGGAGTACTGCTTTTATCAGTCATTGTTTTTTGTTTTTCTAATTAAGCTGTGGTAAACTAGATTTTGCTATTGGTAGTTATGATAAACTATGTTGGTCCACCTGTTGCATTTTAGAAAAGTTAAAACAACACTGGTCAGTACCTTGCATGTTTCCCTATTTGTGCTCAGTTTGTTGGAGACAGTGATGAATCTTTTTGGCCTAACTTTGGTTAGGAAGCTAGCAAAGAAGAACATTTTGTTACATGGCATTCAGAGGGCGAGGACGTGGTGGATTTCGTGCTGCTAAGCAAGAAAATTTTGATCTCTTTCTGGTAACTAAAACTAAATTTATTGCCTCTTGTTATGGTGACTTTTCCTTTCCTGTAAGTTGCTTTGTCGCCTTCCTAATAGTCAAAGCTTGCACTAGTTATTTTCTTCTTTTGCAATTTCTTGGTTGTGAATAATTTCTTTTTAATGGTACGAATCTGAACTGATTGAAAATAGATTTAGCCTGTTTAGTCTTGTGGTAGGGTAGAGAATTGTAAGCATTTGAAAGATAAGAAAAAGGCATTTCAGAAACGGTGATCAACCAATCTCTACATATACTTGCATTTATCTCACAAAGTAATTGAACCAAAATCTAAATTACCTGAAGATTTTTCATATTTGGTTGTATTGAGAAAAAACTGGATTTTCAGGCCTTCAAGGGAAGTTTTGGATTTGTCAAATGCTGTAAACTTCTAAACATGTCTTAAACCTTTTCAACTACTATGAACTTAGGGGTCTCATGTCGCCTTTTTCTTTGAATAAAAACTTAGAGCTAAACTCCATAAGTGCAAATCATCAAAATCATCCATAGAATGATATTTCATAGCCATTGTATGGTAGTAATGTAAAATTTCAGTTTAATCAATGGCGGTTAGGCAAAGGTTGTTTTGACCCTATTGAGCTGCTATTGTACGGGTTCCCTATGAAAGTATCTTGTTATTGTTTATACTTAGTTTCTGTAATAACACTAATGCATTTGTCAGTTGGGTTGTATGTTGTGCTTAAGTTATTTCATTGCACAATTGTAGGAAATTGATGAACTAGGAACTGCAGAAAGTGTGAAAGTTGATCCATCCTTCGCTGTGTGGTTTAGTAAATTTCAGAGGTACTGGAACTCTTCTCCTTATTATGTTGAAGATGAAAGTGGAGGTGCAAAGAGTAAGTACTCATATGCTTGAACACTGCCTTACTTTTGCTTTTGGAGTAGCAGAATGCGAGAAGAAATAACTCTGATGCTAGAACTGTGTCAACTGATTGATATAATTGTCTTGTTTCTTCCTGAACTTGTGCTGGTAGAAAGTCAAAGAATCGAAATAGAAAAGCTTGCAGACAGGAAGTCTAAAAAAACGAGTTCAAAGCAGCCACTCTCCCACTTCATAAGAATGGAGCCTGATTATGTTCCTGCTGAACTAGCTAAAGGTTTGTGATTCTTGTCAATTCTGGAGATCTAAAAATGGTTGTAAACTCATCATTCACGGTAAGTATCATTTCTTATCGTTCGACCTTCTCCTTTTCCTTTGCCTTTTACCTTATTATTTTTTGGTGTGCTGATGGATGAGAAGATGAGAAGAAGGAGAAGCATGGTATCAAAAGAGTGAGATGGAACCCTGAAGCAGGTGATATGAGAATACACTTTGTTGCTTCTTTCATCATGCTTAAATGTATTTTTTTAATCTTTAAGCTTTTTAACTTTTAAATGAAGTTGATCTGTCAGTGTTTCATTTTGTTTATGTCAATAAAATGTTAAATTTTTTTTTTTTAAAATTTAGCTGTGGTCAGCTCTGAGATGGTTTTGGTTTATATTTTCCATATGATTAAGGATTGTCATTTGAAATGCCTTGATGGCCTTTTGTTTTCGTATTTTTACCTGGTGAATTTGATAATTGAGAAATAGTTGATAGTTGACTGCTTCTTTGTTCTGAATTTCTCCTTGGTGGTTCTGGCTTTTCATTTATAAATATTTTATGCCATAAAAATTGAGAAATAGTTCTGTGAGCTACCACTTTTTTGGTTGGCTTCATGAGCAATGGAATGTTCTCCTTCTTCAGTTTCATTACCATCCTTTTGGCAACAGTTTTCAGTCTTTCTCATGGCAGTATTGAATAGTCACAGGATTGCAAATTAGATTTGGACCCAGTGTGCTTTTGGAGTTATTTGCAATCAGTAGGCCTGGCAACTTAATGATTTTCATTTACTTGGTTTTGAAGCTTAGTCATTTATGTATTAAAAAAGAAGCTTATATTATACTTGTTTACTTTTACTGGTTTGGTCTGGGAACCAGTAATTGATTCCTAGGATATGTTTTTCCGTTTAAACTTGGGGACAAAACCAGAATTTGGGAAATATTGAAACCTTGTTTCCCATGAAGCAGATTGTGCTAGATTGTTAAACACCACAGTGACGCTTCAAGGACTTTAAATTTGCTGTAAAGCTGCTCATTTGTTTGGCTTTTGTAGAGTCTTAACTTATTGTTCCATACTGACAGTGATTTTCATGTGGCAGACATGCAGAAGTTGGATGTCTTTGAAAAGCTTGAGCAGAAGCATCAGGTAAGAATGCTACTGTTTGTATTGAGCACTGCTTTCTCTCTTTTGGTAGAGCTGTTTGAAACACCGAATAGCAGAAACAAAAGAAAGCAATTTCTTTATTCAGTGGCACAATAGAAGTGAGAAGCATTCTTGAGCAGATGAACGCATTTTTCTACTCATTTTCTTCACTTGTCCTAGTTGGTTGTCCCGATTATTCTGTTTCTATTCACCTTGAACGCAATAGGTACAAGAATTAAATGGGAAGGAGGATGAGGAGGAGGAAGGAGATGAAAAACTTGAAGAGGATGAAGAGGAGTATAGTGATGATGGTGATTATAATCAGGTATTTGTAACAATTGAGACTGTATTTCTGTCTCAGGTTCAAAAAGGGCCCTGCCGGAAGATGTGGGGAGGGATCAACTGTTGGCAATGCAAATCGTTCTAGACCTCATGCTTTGACTTCACCTGTCCATTGCAAATGTCATATAAAGCTTATATTTGGTGTAGATGCACTAAAACTCAAAAAATTGTTGCAGAACATTGATTTTGATGATGATGAAGACGACTTTAACACGGGTGACGATAATGATGGTACGGACTTTGTCTTTGGCATGATCTTACTTTTTTCACTTCCACTATTGTATACCAACAATAGAGGTTTCCCTTGCCTTATAATGGTTGCGGTTTAATTACGAAAGCTAATGCTACTGAATCCATTGCGTTGCGTCGCATCGCAGATGAACCAGAACTTTAGATGATGCATTCGTAAACGTGCTATCTGGACTCCTTTAGTTGGGACCAACAAAGACACATCCTTTTACCATTTTTGCATAAAGCCAGAATCAGAGGCTCTTGGAGATTCACAAACTCTGTCAAGATTCGACGTTTTCATTTTGTGGTGGTGACAGTTTATACCATGGAAGAAGATAATGGTTTTCTTGTGGTTGCAAGTTCTGGGAACGGGGAGTGACAGCTGGAGCCTTGCTTCATTTTTTTTTTACCTTTTTTTGGTGATAATAGCATAAAATTGCATCTTGAAATCGAAAGTTGTAATAACCGGTAATGATAATCGAAGGAGAACTTTAAACCTCTACATGGGTGCAAGTCAAGGGATTTGATCCCTTGGCTTGCATTCTAATATCCAGACTACCCTACCCGTCTGTCTAGATAGGTGGTGATTCACTGGATTTTCCACCTTTTTAGGTGTTTCCTTTCTCTTAGTGTGGAGTAAGAGTGGTTATAGTATAAAATCTATCGTATCGGCGAAAAAAAAAATAGAAAATTGTAATGTGAAGGCACGAACTATTTATCTCTTAAATATTCATAATTCTGATCCTACCCCTTACCGACGGCAACCAATTGTACTAGAAAACAGGCCCCCCTAAGGCTGCCTGTATTATTAGAAAATTGTTGTTTCCTTCTTTATCCTGCAATGAAAGTCAAATTATTCAGATGGTCAAATGAAAATTCAAAATGTCATCACTGCGTAGCCCGCGATTTTTCTGTCCACAAACAACATATATATACTAGTAAATACTATGTTTCAGCCGCCATGAATTTGTGACTGTCCCCAAACTAGGAAACTTGGATGATGGAATATTCCTTGATTTATGTTCATGTTAGTGGGTAGAAGGATAAGTTTTAAAGCCGCAAGAAAAGAAACTGGACGTTTCATCATATGAAGTTGAACAGGCATGCATGCTTGCACTTTCCACAAGCCCCATCCAAGATTTGATTGTCTTGTTGTATTAGTAGTACCAATCTAGAATGGATACATTTTCTTGCTGATCAAACACAACGACGTACCTGTTAGATACATAAATTATTGACAATTGGTGGGCACGTCTTTGATTTGCCAAGCCTAGCCTTATCAAGGTGGGAGATACATTACCACAAGCTGTGTGCTGTCTTTTCTTTAAAATGATGAACTGAGAAATCTGTTGACGCCATCAAAGGAATAAAAGAGAAGAAAAAGTTGAATCGACTAATAATAATAGTTAAGGTAGGCACAAGAATTTAACAGAAACAGAGGAAGAGGTTGGTTTTTTCTCTTGGTGTGCCAGAAAATATTCCAAAGTCAAAGGTCCTTTGTATTCGACTTTGGAATATTTTGCACCAAAATTACTACTCCCTCCGTCCCACTTTGATAGTCCTGTATTCCTTTTTCATCTGTCCCAAATCATAGTTCACTTTTCAATTGAAGAACGTAGTTATATTTTAATTTTTCTAAAATACCCTGATTCAATGTAAGTAGTTGTTACTATAAACCTACCTCATTTAATGAGAGTTGATTCTTCTTTTATCATCAATTCAAGTTCTCATAAAAGTTGTGTCATATTTAATGTGATGGTATTTTAGAAAAATAACAAATCTAAATTTACTTTTTTAATAAAATTAATTATTTTTTCTTAAACTATGTGAGAAAAGAAACATGGCTATTAAAGTGGGACGGAAGGAATAGTATTTCATGATCATAATAGTACTTTTCGTCCCTGCAGGCTTCTCGAAAAATTACTACTACCTATGATGATAATTTATTCATAGATTAGTAGTGTTCTTTTTGGGGATTGGTGCTGGTGTTGCGGGGGCTAGGGAAATGGTGACTCGGACGTGGAGTGGATGGGGTTTCGTACGTAGAACTAGAAGCAGAGCTTATCCGCTTTCGGCGACAAGACACAATTCTACAAGTCAAGGCATCGTATCATTTTGAAACCGTCGTATATAGGAGAAGATAATGTCGAATCTGCAGATAAGGCAACGATAGCGAAATTCTGGTCCAATGACTTCACCGCAAGTTTCATCAACTTCCATTCCACCCTACTTTTTCTTTTTTTTTTTTTTTTAAAGCATAAGTAGAAAGTTTTGTACCTGATTGTGCACGTATAATAGTTAGCAAATAAATTTTGGCTAATAATTCTCTATCCATTTTTTGCACAGAAATTCTTTTTAAGTAGTTGGACCTAAAATCTAGTGACAACATTTATATAGTTGTATATTAATTACTTGTAATTTTGTATGTTCACTAAATGTATAGGATAGGGCTGCAAACAAATCGAACCGCTAGCTCGAGTCAAGCTCGAGTTGAGCTCGAGCTCGAATTCAGAATATTAAACTCGTTAGCTCGCGAGCCGGCTCGCCAGTTTGTGTATATATATATTTTTTTTTTATTTTTTTTTTTATTTAATAATAAAATTACGTATATTATATATATTTTTTTATTTTTTATTTTTATAGTAAAATTACGTATATATCCTTAATATTTTATTATTTATGAAGAAAAAAATATTATTTTATTTATTTTTTAAAAATAAAATAATTATTTTTTATTTTTTTTCGAGTTCGAGCTCGGCTCGACTTGATTCGAGTCGAGGTCGAAATTTGCCGGCTCGTCGAGTTCAAGCTTCATAAAATTTAGTCGAGACTCGGCTCGATTAGCTCAAAGTTCGATTCGGGTCGGCTCGTTTGCAACCCTAGTATAGGATATGCTAACTTTTGAGTGCATGCTTCCCAACAAATTATAGAGCGTGTTTGGTTAGTAAATTATTTGAGATAATTTTGTGAAAAAAATATTTTTGAATGATGCATATTTTTGATATAATATATATGAGATAAAAAGATAATTAATAAATATGTTGATGATATAAGCAATTCAGTATATTAAAATAAAATAAAAATAATGTGTAATCCAGACGCGCTCGAGTCTATCCATCAGGAAACACTTGGAAACCAAAGAAACACTTGGTAACCAAAAAAAAAAAAAGAGGAATATTCCCACCCAAGTTGTAGGACTCTGAGATACATGACTTGTAGTTTATCTAACAACCAAACCAAAAATAAGCTTCACATGTCAACTCTCGTTCTTTTGGATGTGTCTTTATCCTATCCTCAGATCACCAAAATTCTATCTTCCAAGCTGTCATGATGAATTCTGTATGGACTACTAAACTAATCCATAAAAGTTATGCGTGTGTGTATATATATATATGTGTAGTGTGAGCATGATGATTCCATAGGTTGGTCCCAAAAAATACGTGTCCATGAAACTTTTCCAAATTGATTGAAAGTTAGAAGGATTTGTAGGAGTTTCTTTTCTTCGCCTTGTTTCTCTTTGTGGTTGTATATTCGTTCTTGTTCATTTCAAGTATGGGAAAAGTGCAAAATCAAAAGCTTCAAGATCTATGGCCTCAATATAATAATGGTCATTTGAAGAATGAAGGTCCCTGGATAATCGATGAAGATCATGAGAATTGCTGGATTAATGTTGACGCTGCATCATCATCATCATCATCATTAGCATCCTCCGTCATTGAAGCTTCGACTATTTCAGATGGGTCGTGTTCCTCGAACGATACAAGGGATGATGCATCGTCATCAGCTACACATTCTTCATCCTCAAATTCTAGTGGAGCTTTATATGACTTGTCCGAGCTCATGGAACAATTGCCTATCAAGTAAGCTGTTTTGATAAAATTAAAAAACTATTCCGTCTATTCGTCTTCTTATCTTTTTTTTTTTTGGGATAGATTTGCAGTTTCTTGCTATACATGGGAACCTTATCCCAGGTGGAGTGAATTGAGCTAAAGTATTTTTTCTCCTTTCATAACAGGAGAGGACTTTCTAACTTTTACCGAGGGAAATCTGAGTCTTTTACGTGTTTGTCAAGGGTTACAAGCATAGAAGATTTGGCAAAGAAAGAGGCTCCTTGTAGAAGGAAACACAAGGGAAGCAAGAATTTTGAAGGTGGCTTGGATGCCTACAGAACATTCACTCTTCCTAAGCCCATTATTTCCAAGAAAACACCGAGGGGCTCACTTTCATCATCTTTTCTGTGTAGAAGGGGAGGTTTCATTAATGGCAGCAGCAGGCCTCCACAGAAACCTTTGAAAAAGAGCTTGGGTGATGGGATGTGAACAAATTTTTTTTTTTTTTCCAATAGAAAAGTGTAAAGCTTTGAGTTTTTGGTAGGAAAAATTAGAATAAAACTACTACTAAAAGAGAGAAATGTTGTGTACTACGAATTTTCATTAATTAGCTATTCACAGAGTACGTCCTAACCTGTTTTTGTTTCGTTAAGTCAGTTCCCTTTTTACTTTAGATCGTTTTAACTCCCAATTATTTTCCAACAAAGGTGCTTTTCTGCCTGGTGCTTTGCATAATTTCTTAGTAGCAGGGTTCTCTCCAGGGTAGTTTATCCCACGTCGGGTTGGGGGTTGGGTTAGTTGGGTAGATAAGTCCCTAGGAGGCCCCCAAGAGTTGCCGGCTTTTGAGGGTTCTTCTGGAATTAGGTTTATCAAATTCAACAAAAGTCAATTTGCAATTGTTGATAAAAGCTTTTGAAACTGTTTCAGAGATATTCGCCAACCATAAAACACAACATGGAGGTCTTTTTTTCTTTATTATTTTCTGGAAACCGAAAAATATTTGTTCATGTGCTTATTTCTCACTGCTTTTCCAATCTAGTTATTGATTAAAAAAAAAATTTTGCAGTAGTACTAGGTTTTTTTTGGCCTAAAAATCAAAATTCATTAACACCACCACGCACATAGAAAATGGCTGTTTCCTAAGGTTTGTAGTATTGATGTCTTGACATCCAGAAAAGAGAAGCTAAAGGCTTGTCTTAGATCATGCCATTTGTGCTGCGGGTTCCAAACTCGCTGGAAAAGGAACTGTAAGAGAGGTTGCACGTTTTCGCATGCATTTCAAGAAATCAATTTTCTGCAGTAATCAGGAATAAATTGGATTGCAACAGAAGTCTGTGCAATGTATCAGGCATATGGGGAACAGATGTTATCATCTCGTCTTAGGAACATATTAGCCATGAATTTCGGGAAACATAAAAAGATAGGGAAAGGATCTTAGAGCCAAGTGAATTGCCACTGAAGCATAAATTAATATTGTTGTACAAGTTACAGCCTGCTTTGCAATGACTAGTTCCTAAGACAGCTAGCTTCCCTTGTAATTTGTTTAAAGAGAAGGCTAGCTGCTGAAACAACAAAGAGCTGTTTCATTAAGGGAAAAGAAAAAAAAAAAGCATCTATCTGTAACTAAATTCAAGGAGATGTGGCTGAAAGGTTCCGAATTCGGCTTGATCTCCTCACTGGAGTTGTTATTGCCTTCACATTTCCCTCTCTGCCTCCCTGTTTCAGCCAAAAATAGAGATTGAATACTTGCTCTTATATCAAATTTTGCATCATCTGAAGTGTCTAAGAGATGCTTCAAAAACAGCTATGACAACTTCTCCCAGTATATGGAGGCGATTTCCTTTTCGTAGTTGTTTTTAAGAATTTTTGTATTAGCAAATGAAGCAGTTATCTAAGCTCTCATGGGATCAAGATACATAGGAAACCAAAGTGACTGACTCATCCAGAAAAGAAAATTGCAAAAAGAAACGAAACTTAGTATAAATAAATATGTTCAGATTTACCTCTTTCTTCTTGAGCATGATCTTTTCAGCTGTAAAGCTTCCATATGAAGGAGAACCTGTACTTGAAACATTGGGTGTCTGAGCTCGAGCAACTGGCTGAGCTCGTGACTGCCCATGAGAAACGGAATAAATGGTCTCTCCAGTTTCAATCGTTCTGCCTTTCCGATCCAAACTCCGCCTAACAGTGCTGAATTCTCCAATCACAAACTCTCCAAGCAACTCGATATCTGGTGCATGGATGTATGTTTCCTTATGACCTTTTTCAAATGGAAAAGACATGGATGAAGGTTTCAAAATAGACTCAGCTCTCTCTTCCGCATGCTCAACTTGACCACAAACTTGTGCTTGAATCAGTTTCTCTTTTCTGTCAGACGCTTTAAGCTGAGGATCATGTAGAGGAGCTGGTATTGCCCTTAAGCGATATCTGTACACTAGACATGCCAAAATAATGGAAAATATAGAGAAGATTATCATAGCTATGGCAATCGGTTCAAGGTCCAGGAAGTTAAGATCCTTTATTGACTTGCCACCTATTTCAAACCTGCGGGTATGAGCTTGTGTGTCATCATCAATTTCTATCTTCGCCGGCAGAAAAATTTCATCTCCTACACCGCTAATAGTAGCTTCAGATAACTGCAGTTCAGTCTTATTTGTTTCGTCTTCGACATAAATTCTGTTTAGTTCTTCAGCCTTGTCATAATTTTCACCATCCCTAATAGTTGTAGCATCTTCAATTCTCTCTGGTCTATTCCTTGTCATTTCCTCTCCTGCTTTAGCCCCCTCAATTTGATCAGCCTTGTGATCATTTTCCAATTGATCAGCCCTGAAAATTAGATTAGCAGGCTTTCTCTCCAAACTTGCACACTGCTGCAGCCCTTCAGAATCCTTCTCTACTTCATTCAGTTCTTGGTCAGTTGCTGCATCAGTTTGAGCATTTTCAAACACTGGAAACTGATCAGACGCCTCATTTGTTTCTTTCACCTTATCATTTATAATTTCAGCACTTTTCCAGTCTGGGCAAATCAATTCCTCATCTCTTTCATCATCCTCGCTGATATCTTCAAATTCACCAGTTGGCGGCTCAGGGATTTCAATTATCTCATCAGTGCTTTCATCCCATTCCTCCTCATCATCTAAATCTATCTGATATCTTCCAAGTTCATGATCATCATCCAGAGTAAATCCTAAAGTTCGCTCTGATCCATTTTGCCATGGACTACCATGCACATTTGTGTGGCACCCTTCATCATCCTCGCTGATATCTTCAAATTCACCAGTTGGCGGCTCAGGGATTTCAATTATCTCATCAGTGCTTTCATCCCATTCTTCCTCATCATCTAAATCTATCTGATATCTTCCAAGTTCATGATCATCATCCAGAGTAAATCCTAAAGTTCGCTCTGATCCATTTTGCCATGGACTACCATGCACATTTGAGTAGACAGCTTCGAATAGATGTTTCTGAATTCTGTGGTACCCTTCCATAAGACCTCCAGTAGCTTGTACAACTGTTGAAGGTCTAGGATTGTTCATAGACGATATGTAAGAAGTTGATAGCCCTATGACAACCAACAAAACTAGAAATTTCGCCAATCCTTTCAAACACCAGCAATTTGGCACCTCATCTTCCTCGCTTTCTTCATCCTCGTCACCATCAGCATCTTGACCATCATGACGGTTATCCTCTGCCTTAATCATCATTATCTGTGAAGAACCTTCTTGAGGAGAAGAATCCAAGAGCTCTTCTTGATCACATTCTGAAGATTTTTGTTCATCAACAATTTTCTGGTTCCGGGAACTAAAAATTCCACTTCTTTGGAGTATCTCACGCCTCCTATTTGGTTTGTAACGCAGAAACTTAGGCCTTGGGGAGAGATAGTTAGTCAAAGGGTCATAAGGCCTCACAGAAGAATCAGCAAAACAATTATTCACCTCACCATCATAGAAAACAGAGGCATTAACACAAGCCGGATCAGCCCAGCTCGATGTTTGATCACAGTGAGGAGAGGCACCCAAACCTGTGTAGTGGAGGCCATTTTTTGCTTCAAGGATCAGAGATTTTGGGTAATGGGCATTATCACAAGAAGTTGTGGATTCATTTTTCTCAGCCAGAATTTTTGTTCTTGGAACAGTAACCTTAGATGTTGCAGAAATCGTAGGTGACATGAAGTGTTTGGTCACAGGTTTCTTGGGGTTCTGAGACTTGAAATTAGATCCCAAATTGTCATGGTTTACATCATTCTCTTTAGTTTCCCCTGCATTTAGTCAAAGAAAGCACTCGCGGTGACCCAAAATACAAGAAAACTGACGATTGAAGAAATTTTAACATCAAAGATCCTACTTTTTGCAGGCAGAGTGGACCAAAACAAGTTTGATTAACACAATAACTCCAAGAATTTCTCAGTTATACCCAAAATATACGAACAATCAAACAGATTAAAGGAAAAAAAAAACAGCTCATATTACAAAATGCAAGTTCCGTAAATTAGTACGAGAAAAAAGGGGAAAAGGGCTTACCTGATATCGAGAGTTTTGGTGACGCAGGAGGTTGTGATGAAAAACCCTTTCCAAAGCTGTCCATCAATGGCTTCAAGCTTGTTTCCCCTGAAATTCTATGCTCGTCTTGGAGAAATTTTCTCTCTCTTTTGGTGATCTTCTTCTTTGTAATATTGAGCGGTTCTCTGATTTTTGGAACTGTTAGCACCAGGTGCTTTCTTGGAGGCAGTTGCACAGGCGGTATTAACTATCAAGGAGGGAAAGAAAGGTGGTTTGTCTGGTTTTGGCAGTTGGGGATTTGAATTTTCAGTCTCTCTCTCTCTCTCTCTCTTTTTGACCGTTGGGAGCTGGAAGTTTGTAACGGCTATAAGGAAGGGTCATCCTTCGGATCTTGGGGAAATCTGGGCGGGCTCTAAGTCCCATGATTGTATTGGCCTTGATCCATATCTACTAGGGACGAGTATTCGTTCCCTCTGAGATGATAGGGACCCAAGGCCCAAACCCTCTCAAGTATGTCCAATTTCAAGATTCAGCATTTGTGGGAACACTAGTTAAATAAGTTTTACGGACATTAGTCGGAAAAAATTACGGCTTTCAAATTCTTTGAGTTAAAAAAAAAGGGTAATTATGATAAAGGGAATTCAATCCTCAAACCTTCTCTTTACTCTTTGCCCTTGCAACGTTCGAAATTTTCCATGGACCAAAAAAATGAATAAAAAGGATTTCCCTTATAATAGATTAATAGTTAGTACTATTTTGGATTGGGAATATGAAATTCACCATCAAACAGCAATTCTTTAATGCCCAAAATGTTTTAAACTTGCAAAAAAAAAAAATCCTAAGAGCCCATTTAGATTATAATTTATTTTTTATTATACGTAATGTATGTTGAGTCGTTGTTATGGTCCTCATGGACCTGTTTTGTCTAGGATGAGTCCATGTCAAAGGGGCACATGGACAAGGTCGGTGGCATTCGGCTTCATTCGTAATTGTACCTTTTCTTAGGTGGGTTCGGAATTTCGGGTGCAGTGAATCTTGAGGTCACAAGTTCGAGTTTCCGCTTCGCTGGATTCCTCGGCGCACTTAACGTGTTCGGGCCGGGTTGGGGCGCCGGGTTCAGGCCGTAGGGAATTAGTCGGGTCCCGTAAGAATT